AGCGTGGTAGAACCTTAGAAGCCCATTCAATACGGAACTGAATACCATGAAAGAAATTCTGAGCAAAGTGACACTCCCAGCCTTGAAAATAATTTAATGGCTTCGACTGTCTTGGTATTGGCATAGCCATGATCGAAGATCCCTCACTTCAGAAGATCAATGCGTGCGTTGCTACCGATTGGTATGCCCGTAAATTCTTTCGTCTTCATGTTTACTGGCAGCTCTTCAGAAGCCAAATAGCCGTTATCAAAGAAAATTGCAATGGGGAGTGTGATCAAACATTTCTTAACTTTTTTTAACCATAAATTAGTTAAAGACCTGGCTAGGAGCTTAGCTACAAGAGTAACGGCTTAAAACTTAAACAAAAAAAAATATTTAAATGCTTGAAAATAATAATTGATTAATTCATTGCCATTAACTAAAATCAATTATTAACACTTCAACTCTTAAAAACTGAAATCCGCCCATAAACAGAACAACAAAATCGAAAACAAACTGAAAAGCGAAAATCAACAATCAGCAATTCCAAGGCATTCCATTATCATATTTGTGGTTTGCTTGACGCCTCAATATGATAACAACAAAAACGGCAATAATGCTACCAACAGTTGACAACGGCAATTGGCATGGTTGGATTGGAATAATTGAACAAATGAGTAAATGAATGACGTTAAATGACTATCAAATGAGCAAACAACAACAGCTGTCCGCCTACCGTGCTGCCTGGCGTTACTCACCTGAGGAAATATGCAGTGCACGCGCAACAGAAGAAATGCACGTAATGCGGCGACCTTTTCGGGATACCACTGTCACTGAGCCACGCAGCCACGCAGTCACGCAGCCACTGTGTGAAGCTACTGACAATCCAAATGACTCACGGCGTCACTGGCGCATCGACGTTCAATTACGCACTCGATGAATTTTACTGCAATTTATGTGCTTGCTGTTGGTGTTGTTGGTGTTGTTGGTGGTTTTTGACTGTATGTATTGCTGCCAGCTGCATGAATGTATTATGGTGTTGTTGTTGCTTTTGAAGTGTTAATGTCGCTTGCTGGAAGGCATTGCACTGTTGACACAAATGCGGAATTCGAAAATATTTTTTTTGTTTGCCTTCTTTTTCTACTACTTTTTTTGCTTTTCTTACACTTTCATTTCATTTGTATTCCATTTTCTATACACTTGTCGTTTGCATTTATTTCGATTAATTGAGATCATTTCATTTGCACTGAAAATTTTATAGCAAGCAGTTGAACTTGCGCTCGCCACATTTTTATTTCATTTTTATTAATTTTTATTTATTTTATTTCTTTGTTTTCACTTTTTTTTTGTCGTTTTATGTTGTTTGCTGCTGTTTCGAATTTGCAAATATATTTTATTAAGTTTTATTCCTTGGCTCGTTAGAGCATTTCAAGCCTTGAACTGTACTATTAGTTAAAATTAAAATTAAAATAATTAAGAAAAAAATTTTTTTTTTTAAATATATTTAAAAAAAAATATGAAAATAAAAAAACATTATTTATTATAAATAGAAAAATATTTCATAATTAAAAAAAATTTTTTTTAAACAAAAAAAATTATAAAAAACATAAATAATATGAAAAATATAACAAAATTTAAAAAAATTAAAAAATATTTTATATACAGAAAAAAAAAATTGAAAAAATAAACTATGAAAAAAATTAAATTATGATTAACAAAATATTTTTTAATAAAACTAAAATTTATAATAAATATGAAAAATATAATAAATTTGAAAAAAGTAAAAATAATTTTAAATACAAAATATTCTAATAACACATGTTTTACTTAGAGCTTTTCAAACCTTGAAATATATTATTAATTAAAAAAAAATATATAAAAAAATTAAGGAAGATGAATAAAATATTTTTTATTAAAAAAGCAAAATATAAAAAATATGGAGAATATAACACATCTCGAAAAACTAAATTTTATTATAAATGGGAAAAAAATTAAAGATAAAGAAAATCAAAAAATATACAACAGAAAATAATAGAAAATAATTAATCATAATAAAAAAAACTATAAAAAGTATATATAATCTGAAAAATATAACTATATTTCAAAAAAAAATAAAATTGTTTTATATTGAAAAAAATGTTAAAAATATAGAAAATATGTAAGTAAATAAGATTATGACTAATAAATAAACGCAAAAATTATCATATAATAAATACAGAAAAAGTTGAACAGTCTTGAAATATATTATTAATTAAAAAATATTAAAAAAAGAAAAATTATTAGACATAAAAAAAAATGTCGATAATAAAATAAAAATTATTAAAAACTTTTAAAATAAAAAAAAAATTAAATATACAAGTATACAGAAATTTTTTATAGTGCACAATTATTCCAAAATATATTTTTAAAATATAAAAAATATGAAAATGAAAATTAATTAAATAGAAAGTCGAAAAATAAAGAAAATATAAAATATTGGAATATTGGATGGAATAAATAAAAATACTCCGTGATTTTGGTTGGCTATTGATGTGATGCTTTTTTTACTATAAAAAATGTAAGAACGCTGAAAAACGTGCCGTACTCAACTGTGAAAATTCTATAAACCAGCCAAAGTGGTTTTCTCGGTTCCGTTCCGGATGTTGGTGAAATAAGGTCTCTTGTCAGTACAAATTGTCCAATAGCAACTAGATACATTGTTAAAATATTAATTTTGTCTAATGCAGCCGTTCACAAGCACATTAAACGTCTAGGATTAATCTAGAAGCTTAACATATGAAGTCAAAAATTCATTAGCCTGAACTCAATCTCTTGGCCGAAAGATACCAAAAAATATTGCACAACAAAAAAAAGTGTGTTTAAATTGCAATGGAAACGAAATTACATGAATTAAATGAACTAACAGCTTCGACCGTCTGGCTATCATTTGCCTCGCTCTCTTCAAACCTCTGTTCATGGTTAAAAATTGTGCGAACAAAGTGCCGCTGAAAATCATACCAATCATGGTAGATAAGTCGCAGAAGTTCTACACTGATTATTTGTTAATATTTTTTTTTAATTTTTGAAGTAATCAAATAATTAATTTTTTCAATATATTTTCATAGTTATTTTTTCATTTATTTAATTATTCATAATTTTTATATTTATTTACTAAGCTTCTTATTCATTTATTTAATATTTTATTATTTAATTATTTATTTATTTACACATTTATTTATTTATTTATTTATTTATTTATTTATTTATTTATTTATTTATTTATTTATTCATTTGTTTAATTACTTATTTATTTATTTATTTATTTAATTAATTATTTATTTATTTATTTATTTATTTATTTATTTATTTATTTATTTATTTATTTACTCAATGAGCATTTTTTTACTAGAATTTTCGCAGCATCTTAAGCAAAAACAATTAATTTTGTGGCAAATCAAAAAATGTCACTCATACGCAGTGTACAAATATAGTATGAATATGTACAAAGTGAATTTCACCAATATGTGCACATATATTTAAAACATACTAATATTTACAACCTTAATACTTCAACAATTCAGTAAAATTTCCATTAAGGAAATGGTATAAATTATTTTCCCAAAAAAATTTATTGCGAATAAAATGACGAAGAGGAAAATCTCATTGATAACTTGTCAACAAAGACGAAAACAAAAAAAACTTGAAGCATACATAAGTGTAATTGTGTATGCATACTTTCTGTAGGTATGTATATAGTTAACGCAACATTTGAATGTATACACATAAATGTCACAAATGAGCACACACACACGCACGCACATGTGCACACACAAATTGCCGATGACTTTCATCGATAAAAGAAAAAAATTTGCAAGAAAAAGATGGAAATCTTAAATGAAAGCAAACAAAAGGAAAGAAACAATATTAAATATAAGCAAATTTCGGAAGCATATACTAGGATGTATGAGTACGAAAGCAGAAAAGTGTTTGGAAGGCAAAGAAAATAAAAACAAGCAGCAGGTGGAGAGAACTTTACCAGGAAGTACTTACTAAATATCACAATGATATCAGGCTGAGTGACAGATTTTTTGCTTCTTTTTCTTTTTTTGAAGAGTTAGCAAAGGGAAAAAATGTGTTATGCATTTAGGCATTTTTCCAGGGTGGTTTTAAATATGAATGATATTTTGCTGGCGCCATGCGGCACAGGATGACTAGGCAAATGCGGCTGCTGTTAATTTTTTTTATTTGCAGAGAAGAAAAAATGTCCATATTCATGCTTATATACTTGAAAGAAAATTAGAAAACTTAGACATTTTTTCGTTTTCTGTTTATAATTTTAAAATTTTGATTTAGATTATTTTTCAATCCTTACATTTTTTCATTATTTAATAGTTTTAAAATATTTTTTTTTTATTTTATATTCTTAACAATTCTCCAAGGATTATTTGTTTCTTTATTATTATATTTAATTATTATTTTAATTTGTATTAGCTTTTGTAATATAAAAATTTAAAAAAAAAAGTTTAGTTAATTAATCAATTTTTATTTTATTTCCCTTATTATTTCCTTTTTTATGCAATAGTTATTCGTTCATATTTGTAAAAAAATTTTGTGAAAATCTTCTTTTGTTGGTTCATTCTGTAATCAAGTATTTTTTACTAAATATGTATATATTTATCTATTGATACTTTATACACCCATTTTTTTATTAATTTATTTGTTATATTTTTTATTTATTTCTTTATTTATTTATTTATTTACTTATTTATGTATATATTCATTTAGTTTTTTTATTTGTTTATTTATTTTTCCATTTAATTATTTCATTCTTTATTAATTTTTTAATTTAATCATCAATTTATTTACTTATTTTTTTGTTTATTGATTTTTCTATCATATTTATTTTTTTTTTATTTATCCATTTATATATTTAGTTTTTTATTAATTTTTTAATTTATTAATTAATTTATTTAACTATTTTTTATGTTTTTATTTATTTATTAATTTATTGCTTTTTCTATTTATTTATATATTTTTTTATTAGTTTATTTATTTATTTATCTATTTATTTGTTTATTTATTCATTTATTTATCTATTTCTTTTTTTGTTAATTTATTAATGAAATAATTTATTTATTTATTCATTTAATTGTTTAATAATTTATCAATATATTTGTTTATTTATTTATTTATTTATTTATAAATTTTTTTATTTGTTTATTTTCTTATTTGTCTATTGATTTATTTATCTATTTATTTTTTAATTTAGTTATTTATTTATTTATCTCTTTATTTGTTCACTTTTTATTTATTTATTTATTTATTTATTTATTTATTTATTTATTTATTTATTTATTTATTTATTTATTTATTTATTTATTTATTTATTTATTTATTTCTTTTTATTTACTTATTTATATATTTTTTTATTAACTTATTTAATTCTTATTTAATACCTTTTTTGCTTTTATATTCATTTCCGTTTTAATTAAATATTTAATTTTTTACTTCTTTGTTTATATATTTTATTATATGTTCATTTTCTTATTTGGTTTTTTGCTTATTAATTCACTAATTTTTATTTGTATTTTTTTTACAATGCTAACTATTATTTATTTATTTACTGACCTCACTGGTCTTGTAAAAATAATAATAATACAAATTCTGTTATTAATTTTCCATTCGAAATCAGTGAACTTAAGATTAAAATTATGTCTTGAAAATTTAAAAATTATTTTATATCATAAAATTCTATTTTTTCGTTATTTTTATTATATTTATTATTATTTATTTTATATTTATATTTTAAATTTGACAATTTTTTTAAATAAATAATAATAAACTATCTGGTCTTTTTCCACAATAAATTAATTGTGTACCAAATAAAGTTCTTCGTTTCTCTATACACCGTATCAGCAATTTCTCCTACACTTTTTCCCCATTTTTCTATTTCGAAAACATTTCGACTATCAAAACCACTAAAATTCCACAGTTTTGCATACCAAAACTAGCCGATCTTGACACTGTTTATTATTATTTTCTTGTTTTTTTTCATTGCATTTGTTGTTGTTGTCGTTGTGAGTTTTGGAATTTTCAACAGATCCCATTTGCAACACCATTAACAACAATATATGTATGTACACGTACACGCATACGAGTATGTAGATGATTGCTGCGCGCGCATGCAAAAAACACATACATACACACTTGCCTACTACACACTCACACAGGGCATCGGTAAATTTTAGCATACTATTCATAAGTGTATATGTGTGGATGAATGTTAGCGCTTTCCCACAACGGCGAGGTGGGCGTCAACGCCAACAGCGCAGCGGCGCCGTTATTCCCGATGTTGGCGGAACGATGACAATGGGTACAGATTTTCCGCCGAGTGGGACGCAGATTTTGAGGTAGGAGCATTTATTCTAATGTACATATGTATAAACATACATAAATCTAAGTTCATATGTATGTATGTAGGTATAATGTAGATTTGTAATAAATATACATATAATCACACATGTAGGCTCAAATTTGTATGTTTGTACGCATATAGAAGACTACGCTTGTTTGTAAGTTTTTGCCAAAATTCGCTTCCCACCTCCTCTTTTACATATGCGTCCCAACTTCACGCTATGTCGCGCCAATCAGCGTCGCTTTTACACTAAACACACACATATGTATGTACAAACACACACACACATACACACACCGGAACACTTGTCCGCACTAAATACATTTTTTTTTTATTTTTTAACTCAATTTTTTTTGCAGATTTACAAAAAATTTTATAGCATTCTTCTACGCACCTTTCACAATGGATTTTTTTTTTTTGGGTATATTTTTAATCAACTCTTTATCGCATTTCATTTAGTTACACACAACAGAAACATACATACGTGTATGTATGTACATATGACACATATGCTTACACACATTGTAGCTTAAGTGGGCATGTTCTTTGCCTGCCTCCTGCTGGTTGGCATAGATTTCCGTTCATAAATTTTTCTAAAATTTCAATACTATTTGATTTTATGTTTTTTGAAAATTTTCTGGCCTAAGCAGTGACACTCTATGTAGTCTATTTTACTACTGCTATATGGTACTCCGAGCGGGCCCCTGACCACCTGAACCCGACCGTTTGGCTATGGTAGAGCGAATCAAACTGATTTCGAACGGAATGCACAACAAGGAGCACAGCCAGGCAGCAGTGGCGCCGCTTTCCGTTTTCTGAGCGAGATTACAAACTTCCAGTCTCGCCGAGGTAGCGCGAAACAAACAAACATATGTATATACATACATATGTACATCCGTGTATGTACTTACTGCCCGCCTTGACTGGCTGTTTGCCCACAATGCTCCAACTTACTCAGTTTTGTAGGTACATTCTTGGAACATAATGAGATAGCGGAAAAGTGAGCGCTTTCGCAATACTTAAGTGCTAGCACGAGCAGCCAGATATGAAAAAGCTTTCTCTATTTCGTTATTCTTTGTGTATATACCTCTATTTTTTCCGTTTGTTATTGTTGGAATTTTGGCAAAAAGCTTCGTGGTTTCCAATCGGCCCAATCAGCAGGTATACAATTTGCCACACATATGAATATATACATACATGCATATGTATGTACACTCACTGAGAGTGTATTTAATACTCACGCTCTTCTGTACACAAATCGCTCGTTAGGCCGAGCACACGGCACCGCGCATCTCCATCACCGTAGTTTATCAAAATGCTTCCCAAACATGCACGAAGATAACCGAGTGAGCTTTTGCTTTGCTTTTATCAAATGCATACATATTTACATACATTTATTAGTTTTTCACCCCCCCGCATTCTATCCATCAAAACAAATGTTCCAATATTATAGGAGATTCGAAAATGTGTTGCGCTCGTCGTTGGGCATTCGTTTGTTTTGCTCATCGCAAAAGAAAATCACAGATACACACACACACGCACGCCCACAGCCGCAGACACAATGAGCCAGTAATGAAAACGCTTTTTGCATCAGCAGATATTTTACTTTCTCCTGTGGCAGATGGTTTTTCGGCCACTTTAAGCAAATTTGATGTAACCCAGCAGTGTTTTATAAAGGTTTCACTTTCAAATTTTTGATACGGCTCTTAAATAATTTAATTTATTTTTTATTATACCGAACTCTGCGCGTGCTTCATGAGTTTGCTTTGCTTTGCTTTGTTTGCGTCGCTTAACGTTGATTGGCTTTGATTTGCTCTGCTTTCCTTTCCTTTGCTTTCCTTTGTTTAGCTTCGATTTGCTTCGCTTTGCTTTGCTTAGCTTCGCTTTGCTTTGATTTGCTTTTAATTTGATTCGCTTCAGATAAGGTTTTGAATTGGTTTGATCCTTTTTCGTAGAATCAGCCAGACGATGGTTTTAGAAATGAATTTTTTTGTGCAGAAAAGGGAAGCTCTTAAACTCCTGATCGCTATACAACAGACCCCCATTATATATATGCATCGAAGCTGGTTAGGTGTTCAAGAATTTACGCGCGTTAAGGTTTTTATAACGAATTTTCGTTCACAGCGTCGGTGAAACCACCCGAAAAGCAAAATAGGATTTTTTAAACCTTTTCTGATTTTCTATTTTCTTTTTTTTTATATATTGTTGCATAAATCAAATACATATACAGTTATTCAATCATAAAATAAAAAATTACAAAATTACATTTAACTACGTGTAAAGTCTAATTGTAGCATCTGCACCTGACGAGAATACCCATGGCTGTATTGGATGCCACACAACATCGAGAATACCGAATTCTTCGCGTGCTTCATGCGTCTGTAATTTCTTTACGGGCACAATCAGAGGATTTTGCAGCAAATCACTATAAAATTTGAAACAGTATTATTAATACAAATCATTCATTAATTGTTTCATAGTCGCAGACTTACTTGTAAACCATGCCGTGTGAAACTATCACGGATAGATCATCACTGGCAGAAGCGAAAAGTGGATAGCGCAAATGGAAAGCGACACTACGCACAGCATTCTTGTGTAAACGTAAAGTCTGATATGGTTTAGTTGACAAATCCAAATCAAACCAAAGCATCTTTTTGTCATACGTGGACACTAATAAATTATCACCTTTGGGATGTATTGACATGCCCGATATCCATTTGGAGTTTGTTAGTAACTTTTTAATCAGCTCTTGTTTAACTAAATCATAAATGCGTACATTGTGTTGCGTCTGGACAGGGAAAAGGAAGGATTTTATTGAACTGTTTAATAATAAGTTAATTATTTTTGCTTACCGCCACAAATAAGCACGGTTTGATTGGATGGAACAGCACACATTGTATTAGACCCTTACTCTTGGAGAATGGTATTTGCGAACGTCGCTTGGAGAGTTGATGAATGAGCGCTGAACGATTGGCACCTTCAGGCATAACCGTGGCAACGTAATCACCACGTCCATGCCACGTAACTTGTTGAATGGGCTTGAAATGAGTGATAACTATACGCACGCCCTTCTCTTGTTCCTCTTTTTCAGCAACACTCCACTGCACAGCCGTTTTGATGCGTTCACTTTCCATTGTATCTACTTGCGGGGTTTCCGCAAGCAAATCATCTGTTTTTTTCACAATCAACTTATCGCCGACCTTAGGATTAATCAAGAGCAATCGGTTGCCAGTTGCAACAGCAATAACGGATAATTTGGCATTTGGACACCAGGCAACGCAACGCACAACATCGTCAGTCTCGATGGTACGTATACAACGGCCAGTAGCGATTTCCCAAACTAAAATAAAAAGTTTTGCAATGAGTAACTTTTCTAAAAGAAAAATTTTTTTTAATTTTATACTCTACTTACTTTTAACTGTTTTGTCGTCCGATCCAGAGACAATGTATTCGCCCTTCGGTTCAACGCTAACTGTACGCACTAAATCTGTATGTCCACGATATACCAAACTCTCCACAGTTGGAAATGGTTGTAGATCCCTTGGTGAAGGTAATTTTGGAATCAAATATTCTGCATCGATATTTAGTTTTGTACGTCTGGCGCGAGGACACAAATACAGATCCAGACAACGCATGAAGCGTTCACGAATGTATCGTGGATACGCGGGCACTTCACGTAGCGATTTATACTTTTGTGGCATGAAATGTAGTTTACGCTTATATGGTTCATCTTTAAGCTTCAACCATTCTCGCTGTTCTTTCTCATCAAACAAATATTCTGGTGGTGGATTATAAGATTCGGCATGTCCCGGCAAATCTCGTTTCGGTGCAGACACTGGATCGTGTATGCGACGCATTTGTTCACGACTTGTGTCAGTTTCCCAAAGCATATAGAATTTAGGTCCGCGCGCAGCCTTCTTTTCACGCTCCACTTCATCCATAGTTTTCATCCAACCCATTTTAAGTGCATGCACCATACGAGAAACCTTCTTGCGTTCAGATGAGGATGGCAAAAATGAACGTTTGTGATCGGGTACATTTTTTATAGGCATACGTTCTACTTCCGAAGTAAACCACTCAATCCACGGCTCGTACTCATTATGTTCTGGATTGGGTACGCGTGAAGAATTAATGCGTTTGATAAGTTCAATGTCAGCGTCTGTAAGTACAACCTCTTGTCCAGTTTGTGGATCTTTAACACTACGCCAGAAATCAGGATCTTCAATTTTACGTAGAAAGTCATCAATTTGATCACCTTTTGGTGGCTTTATAATTTTCTTTGCATCCCAATCATAGCCAATATGTTTGTACTCATCGTACCAATGCATCGGAATATTCCCCACAGTATTGCGAATGTCTTCTTCGTCAGAGGTATCTGAATCTTCATATTCTGCTTTATTAGCAGGCGCAGCGGCGATTTGTTCTTTGTCATTTAATTCATTTTTCAAATTATTAAGTGATTCGTTGGTCTTAGCATTTTGCGCCTCAAGCGCTTTTTTCGCTGTATTCAAATCATTGGGCTTATTTTTCTCAGCTCTTTTAGTCTTTTTTATTTCTTTATTATTGCTGGACACCTTGATATTAGATTCTTTACTGCTTATAGGTTCTTCATCGCTGATACCATCTTCATCGTCATCATCATCATCATTGTCATCGGCCTCTTCTTCACCGGATATGTCCTCAATATCAGATTCGTTTATTTCCTCTTCCTCCCCTGATGCTTCTTCATCATCATCATCACTGTTTTCAGACGGTACATTTGCATCCCATTTTGAAGTGTAATTACCCTCTTCATCACTCTCAAATTCTAACTCGTCACTGTCATCAGACTGATAAGCTTTCGCGGCACCTTCATCATCAGAGCTGTCGTTGTCTTCGTTGGAAATATTCTGCAATAAATCCTATCCGAAACATATTCACATGATAACCCAATACTGTTATAGTTTTCATAGCATAGTTACCTCTTGTAACCCCTCATCTTCCTCTGTCGATTTTATGTCAATATCTTTTACTTTTTTCTTTTCTATAAACTCGGTAGCTTTTCTTTTAACTTGTTTCTTTGCCATTTTTAAATAGTTTCATGCATTAAATTACCAGCAAATTATTATTCTAATAACTAGACACCCGCTGCACGTGTAGGAAAACTGACAGCTGTGCTGCATTGTTGCCACAGCTTGCAACAGCAATCTAATAAACAAACACATGGTTGCATTTCAATGTTGCTTCATAACATGGTCATTACAGTAATTTCGTTGGAAGAAATTTCTCAAATTAGTGAAATATCTACTTTCTGCAGAAGATTATTGGTAATTTATAATTTAAAAATTTTCTTTTGATTCCTTACACTTTTCCATGATAATTCGTTTTATTTGTAAGAAATGTCCAAAAAAATAAAAACGTAATTTGAAATACATAATTAGTCTGGCAACTTTTGACAATCATTTGTTTTTGTGTAACTTTTTTGTTTTAGCATGACTTGCTTCAGCAAATATTTTGTTTTGTTATAATATTTAAATATATCAAGCAAATAAACACTTTTTATCACCAATCATAAACGAAGATTCTGAAAATGGATACCGTTAAAATCGGCGACTCAAACAATGGCTCAAATAATTTACCTACTGAATTGGAACAGGAAGTTACCGGCTTTACCTCCTGCGGCACAAACTTGGATATTAAAGGCAGGAAGTTAACCGTACGCATGCTGCGCATGAATTCCGCCACAATGGTTATTATATCGCCACAAGGTAAAGAAAGTCTAGACGAGATGGGGGTGGCATTTCCATCTCTCGGCAATTGTGGATTATCGTCAAGCACAACAATATTTGGATCAGAATATGCTTCCAACTCCCAACGTTTAGCGGAGCTGTGGAGTAAACGTCACAAACGCCAATTTATAGTATGCTGTAATGTACAAACAAATGACATTGATGGGTCTTTGGTGGAGAGGTCACTAAGCGATTGGATTTGTGCAAATGTGCAAGCATAGAAGACTTATTTTTGTATTAAACGAAAAAAAAATGTAATATTTATATAATTTGTTGTCCGTAATAATTACATATTACATATGTACATACATGTAAGATAATTTAAATAAATCCAAAAATAAAAACTAATTTTAAAAATATTTGAAAAACATGATTCTCATTGCCAATACCCTCACCACCAGTGTCGCACACAGCACATTTTATTTGTTGGTGTTTTGAAGGCCGTGGAGGGTCACTATGTTGAATATGGCCTATTTTTATACGTCTTTTAAACGAAGCTATTTTCAGCATTGCAGCCAGGCTTTTAATGCTACCACTGCAGCCAGTGCAATAGCATTGCTTCGTTGTAGCGTTTGGGCCATAAGGACCCCCCACTCAACTCCTGGCACATAGTAAATGGGGTCGACATTTGCACTCTGCTCTCAGCGAGACGATCATCAGCGTGCAGGTATTATTAATTTACAAATGTGTTTCAACTATTAATTGTAATTTTATTATAAACGGTGTGAAAACGATTTTCATTTAAAAAGTGTTTAAAACTAATTCTCATTGAATGTGTCGTGTATTATTTTTCAACATTCATTTTGGAAAAAGCGGAAAACTGGCATTCTGGAATCTGGTTAATTTCATTAAAAATTTAAATGAAATTATTCAAGTTTTTAAACAGCATCCATGTTTGTAAATATAAATGATGTTTATTATTAAAATAGTGGAGTTATCATATACACACATACATACATACATACACGTATGTATATACAGCATACTTATTGTTATTTATTTTAAATTAAAAACAACTTCCTATTCAAACAACTGAAAATAAAAAAAAGTCCCAAATGTAAAAACCCGAAATTTTCTGTTTTCTTTTAATTTGGCATCAATAAATAGCAAGACACTTTCTATTGTGTTGTATTTACACTTGAATAAATATAGGCACTCCTATACGTGAATACAACTAAATATTCAGTACCATTTTGTTTTATATAAAACTTTAATAAGCCGTATACCAATTGCGAAAATCAAGATGCTTATTGGCTGTTCCATGGTATCCAGCCAATCAGCTTGTGACGATTATTTTATTTACGTATAAACACAAGTGGGTATGGAAATCGTGTTACTGTCTTGGCCTTAATAGTTTTTAATCAAACTGAAAACCATAAATATTGCGGTAATACGAGTACATGTTTGTAAAGAAAAATGCTTGTATGTACAAAAGTGCATATGTATGTATATGTGTGCTTTACTATTCACTCAACAAAGATTTTAGAAAACGTAAGCAACATGGTTTAAACATACATACGTATGGATGTATGTACGTACATTGTTATTTATTTGTTAAGTATATTTAATTTATACGTTAATTGGAGTTTTTGACGAAAAACTTTTAAATTTTTGCATTTAACACACTAATATGTGCATGTAAGAAAATCGCTTTTCACAAATCATCTTTTAGGCGCTTGGTTTGGGGTTATGATTTATTAACAACTTTTATAATATCAAACGTATAAAAATTAAACCAAAAATAACAAGAATCCTTATTAAAAAAAAAAGTTTAAAAATATTTCTGACACTCAAAAATTAAATTTAAATTAATTATGATTTTAAATACATACTTACAGTGATGTACTAAAGTATTGGCACAGCAAGTTACCTCAACTTTAACACTTTAAAGTGGTCAAACTTATAAAAATATTTTTAATTTCGAAAAAAAATTAAGAGTACATGGTCCCAAAAGTAAATTGGTTTGCTTAGGTACTCCTTAGCATAGGTTAAACGTTTCTTTTGGTTCACTTTTGAAAGTAGGGGTTTGCATCTGGCTGCACGAGGTTGAAAGTTAGCTTAATGTAGTACTCTCCGGATCGTAAAAGGTTTTAAAGTTGAACTATCCTGCTGTGTAAATACTTTAGTTCATCACGATACATACGAGGTGTGACAATTAAGTAATGAGACTGATTCCATAAAAACCGTAATTTAAAAATTATTTCACAACTCTGACATCCCCTTAAAAGTAATCGCCTTGAGCAGCTATACAACGATTCCTGCGTAACATTTCTGTAAAGCTTCGACTGAGATGTATGCGAGTACTTTCGTCACGGCCGCCTGGATGTTCTCAATCGACACAAATTGGGTTCATTTAAGCACCGATTTTGTTCCAACGAACAAAATAAAGTCACAGGATGGCATATCGTGCGAATAAGGCGGTTGTTGCCACACTGCGATCCCGTTAGAGGCCAAATACTGGAACACGCTGAGGGCGGTATGGCACGGCGCATTGTCGTGATGAAGGATCCAGTTACGAGCCATGTCTGCGCGCACTCTGTTGATTCGTTTTCATAATCTTTCGTGCGCTTGGCGATAGTGGACTTGATTAACGGGTTGCCCGGTGGAAGAAATTCTTTGTGGACGATTCCACGTCTATAAAAAAACACCTGGGCACGACTCAGAGCACAATCACCATGCACTTTTACAATTTTAGCATACGTGTTCGAAGCCGTTTCGCTCAATTTGGCGAAAACTTTTATCGCGACGCGTTGCTCTTGATTACGTTTTTCCATATTCGTGACGAGCACCACGAACACACGTTTACTCATCACGACACAGCAGGCGGACTAAACAAGTTAGAATGATTGCAAATATATCAATGAAAGGCAGAAGGATGCCGGGAGAAGGGAAAATTAAATTCAAGGTCGCAGGGCTACCACAATCGCGGCAATATATATGGTTTTTGAGGCATTAAGACACTGTGATTTCCATTAAGTCATTCTAAAATGATGTAGATCCGCTCAGGAATTTGTTATTTAAGCTGTGTTGTTGCCCCTAAAAATACAATAAATTTATAAAATAAAACAATTAAAATCCTAGAGATTTAATTTTAATTTAAGGTTTCTTAAACACTTCTCATGTAGACAGATAAAGGAGGACGCTGTGCACCGCGATTGTCTTATTCTGTCCTCAAAAATCTACTGTTTCAATCCTAAGACTCTTGAAACCTCTGACATGTTTGCAGTATTGAACGATTTGATGTAATCCTACTGCGACTGTATGACTCCAAGGTGTTTATTTTTCTTCTTGCTTCGGTTTCGCACTTCAAAAATCTGTGAGCTGGTCTGTCGGGGTTCAACTAGCATAAACGAAGTTTTTCTGCTGCGCCGGTTTTATGCATTGTAGCCATTCATTTACGCAGATGATGTAGCACTTAATTAGGTAACAAGTTGGACGACCAGAGCTGGTTCTGCTGTAAGTTCCAGTCCAGTAAAACAGAACAATGTTATTCCCCAAAAGATATAGCGATAACGGTTACCATCACGTTGAGGGTTGTCCGATTACTCTTATCAGAGAAAGATAAATACCTGAGGGGACTATTATAGATAGTAAACTATCCTGGAAGGCTAAAAGAAAGGCATCAACAGCTTTATATTCTGGCATGGACGAAATCGGCGAAAGATGGGACCTTGCTCCGAAAGTAGTGCACTATATCTACAACACAATAGTTAAACCTATCTTATATTAAGGTGTTTTCATGGTGTGGAAGTCACTAGAAAGAGTATCTTTTGGTAAGCAGCTAGAAACTGATCAACGCACGGCTCTTAACAGCATCTGTGCTGCATTATGAGCTACTCTAACTCTAGCTTTGGATGCGATATGTGGTATAGCGCCTGTGAGACTTAGAGCGTCTGGGTTTTTGTAGTTACTGCAGGTAGATCTATCGCTGCAAAATTCGCTGTGAGACCCAGAGAGTATCCATCATTTGTTAGATTAAGCAAGTGGCAGTTCATTTTCATTGATTGGCTCGAATTCATCCTCAGATGCTTGAATTAGTGTATCTTATAGCTAGCAAGCCATTCTCCACCGAGAACTAGAGAACTAAAGATCGATGGAGGAAAAGAGCACCTATCGTCTTTCCAGATGGTTGGAAGTCTGATGGAGTCTTCTATCGAGCCTTCTATCAAGCCTTCTATCAAAGAGTTACCCATCGATGGAGGGCTTAGGCTTCCACATCATTGCAGCGCTTTTTAGGCGAAAGTTGCTTCCATCAATGAAGCGGAAGACACACAGTTGCGAAGGGTGCTTTCTAAGAGAGAGATAGGCTAATATTTATTCAGACAAAGGCTCAATCGTAGTGTTGGTTATTCCTCTTTGTAGCGTTCACTTATTACAAAAGCAGAGCCAAAATTGGACTCTCCGAGCCATTGGATACCAGATGAGGTTTTTATAGTATGATTTCCTCAATATGATGCTGGAGAAAACAATAAGAGCTGCAGAGCTGAAAAGTGCTACTTTGGTCTGAGTAGGCAATTGAAAAGTGAAGTCCTTTCTTTTGCGAACAAAAACCAAACTCTACAAGTCACTCATCGCGAGGAGTTTTGTTTCATCAGGACAATGAAAGACCACAAACATCGATAACAACTCGCCAGAAGCATCGAGACCTGGGTTGGGAGATCCTTTAGCATCAACCTTATAGTCAGCCAATTGCAACAAGATATTATTATCTCTTCCTGTTTATGGCGACTGATTTGGCTGGTGGAGCATCGGGCTCAAGGGTAGCCTGTGACAATCGATTGTCCCAATTATTGCCAAATAGGGTCAAGGGTTGCCATGAGAAAGGCATAGCGGCATAACCATCAAAATAGCAGAAAGTTATAGAACAAAAAGGTGCATTTTTCACATAAATCTGATAATTTTAACGATGGCAAATAAAGAGTTTAACTTAAAGATTTAATTTTTTTTCCAAAAACTTCAAGGCTAATTATGCGTTTATAAATTTTTAAGGAAACCCTTTTCTATTTTTTGCTATTTTGTTATTTGCTTGGATTTAACGAGCTTATCCAATAGCTTTATTAGGCCTCAAAAGAACTCGAGATTTTTTTATAAGTTTTTCCATCACCGAAAATCCGTTGAAAATTCTAAATTATTCTTTCCTGATTAGTTGAAAAAAAATTAGTTTTCAAACACATACATACATATGTACATATGTATAATCTTTTTAAAAACAATAACATATATTTTTCTAAATTAACAATAAAACATATGTACAAATGTATGTACATGCTCTTCCAGCCGTGAATATGTTTGCCGTAAACGAACGGTTAAGTCAACATCCATTTATACAAATATACATATGTACCTATAGACCATAAGG